GGGCAGGCACTGACCTCTGGCAGAGCTTGTCCATGCAGGGGGCAGCAGGAGAAGGGGAGTGTGGGCAGCAGCTCCACAGCCCGGCAGCCACTGCAGCTTCCAGCCTTGGAGCCACATCCCAGCAAGGCCTGGAGAGGAGGGTGGGCTGGGGGGGTGTCAGAGGAGGAGGGGTTAATTTGGAGGGGAGAGAAGGGTGGGCTGATGAGGGGCAGCAGCTGCTCCTCTGAACAGCAATAGCGCTTCAGTGCAGCCCAGTAACGGAGCTGCCAAATTTCCACTGCGGAAGAGACAGAAATTTTCCCTTTGAGCCTGACAGCGACTGCCTAAATTGTGCTCTTGGATGTGGAGGAACTAATTCACAAGTGCTGTGTCCCCCACAATCCCCCAGCTTCTCCTGTGCACTCTCCTCACAGTAAGAACAAGATTGTCTGTCCGTGCAGCTCCCAGCCCGCTCCGCCCTGGCACTGGAATGCACAGCTTTGCTCCCCAGCTATCCTTCTTCACCCCTGTTTATTTTCTTATTCGTTTACTACAACTCAGATAAATGTTTGGGGACATACGGAGTAAATAAAATACAAAATCAAGCTGAACTACAACAATGAAAGGACAACAAATCTTGAAGAAACGGAGAAAGGATGACGCAGAGACGCATTATGGAAACCAGAGTGTGGAAAACGTGGCATGACAAGAGATAAAACAAGGAATCCCGTTAAATGGCAAACAGGGAGAGAAGCTTTAACAAACCATATGAGTTCTATCTTCTGAGTGAGGGATTTTCTTTTAAATCCACTTTTTGTGAGAGCAGGATGAAACGAGTTGGGTGAAACACAAGAGAGACCTGCCGGAGGCTCACCAGCAGGAGAAGAGCAGGATCAAGCCCACATTTTCACTTCCACAAGGGAAAAACCACACGCAGAAAAACACCACCAGTAAGCTTAAAAATTGCAGAAAACACAGGGAAAAATCAGTGCAAAGAGTACACAGGGAAAACCACACCAGATGTCAGAGGAGCCCCAAAAGGTGAGGGCAGCAGCTCATCCTTCTGCCCCTTGGGGCTTCCAGATGTTTAATTCCAGTGCTTTAACACGTGTTTCTTTATCACTACCAGGGTTTGTAGGTTTGGCTGCACCGAAGTGCAAATCACAGAAGTAGACACATGTTGATGCTGCTCAGGATTATCTAATTGAAACTTTTGCCACAGAGCAGGAACACCTTCGAACCCTCCTCGCTGGTGGATGCCTGTTCTTACCGAGGAGGACGTTTTTCTTAACACACTTTTAAACACCGCCAAAAAAAAAAAAACAAACCCAACATTTTAATTTTAAAAAAGGTAAATTTCTCAGCTATGGGAACAGCACTCAGATTTCCCTGAAGCTTTAGGGAGGAGGACAATAAACAACCCAGTCCTCTCTAACGCCAGAGCCCATTTTGCTGACAGAACACCACAGAATTGCCTCCTTGTTCATGCTCAAACTATAGCTAAGGTTGCTTAGGGGACTGGTCCCTTCCACAGGCTGAATGAATCTCATTGGCAAAATATTTATCTAGCACCTCATTTGGGCCTTTTTCCCCCTCCAGAATTTCTTACAAAAGAGAAACGCAGCCTTGTTTTTGCTGGGATACGGCTTCCTACAAGAATGACATTCCAGGCTGTCTCAGTTTTTTTCTAGGAACAGCAGTAGAGCTATTTTGCCTCTGTGGCCTGGACACTACTGCACAGATACTCCACTCCCTGTGGGTTTACCTGAATTAGATTTTAATTTAAATTGGATTGTTTTTTTTTCCCTGATAACTTTTGAAGACACTTCAAGCCTTGAAAAGGCTTTTCCTGCATCACGTAATCACACCAAAATCCACTGATGGCTGCTGACTCTTGAAATTTAAAATATCACAGACTGCAGGTTCCTGAATCACAAGATCTGTTTATTTTAAGGTTTGCTTGGGTGAAGTCACCGGCTGGGCAGTGCAACCCCGGGGCTCACTGCCAAACCCACAAAAAACCCCGCTGGGTTTTGGATGAAAGTTCTGACCCCCAAACCCAGAGCCTGGCGATAGCAGAGCTCCTCTGATCCCAGCTTCTCCTTCTCACCCATCCACAAACAGCGTTCCATGTTAATGAAGGAAAAATAAGGAGGTCTCAGCTCTCGCCTTTGTACATCAAGATTCTAATTTCCACTTCAAACCCACCATGACACCAAAGACGTGTCAGAAAGAATCAATATTTGCAAGGGAAAGTCGGAAAAACCTCGATGAGCTTTATTTCCAGTCGAGGAGTGAAAGGAGCAACGAAAGCTCACGAAACAGCTCAGGCTCAAATAAAGGGGAACAAAATCCGGCAACGCCGAGAGCAAAGCACTTGAAAAGAGATGGATCAGAGCGTTCCTGGGATGGAGGAGCTCAGAAGTGCAAATGCTGCCACTGGAAGCTCCTCAAGCTCAGTTTTTTATGTTGCGCACTGTGGATTACTTGAAAAAAACCAGCCTTTGCTCCTGGTTCCAGCCAGACTTTGTGTTACACTTCAAGAACCCGACTCTGGCCATGGGAAGGGGCCAGTATTCCCCCTGGAGACTGCTCCCAGCGAGGTATGTGGTGTCTGCGGGCTGCAGAGCCGATTTCCTTAGTGATTCTTTGGATGGGGCATTTCCCTGGGCTCCTGGTAACGGCGCTGCCGCAGTTGGCATTTATTTCCCCAAAGCTGCTACGACTAAAACATCGGACACGGGGGGGAATTCATGCCTAGGCCTTACTTCTACAGCTCGAGGAACGGAATGGCACTGCTGAGAGCAGCTGTGAGCACACACGCCACACGGGCCGGGAGCTTTGGCGCTGGGAATTCTCTGAACTCGGCCTTCTTAAAGGCTGCCTTCATTTCAGAATAATTTTTTTGTTGAGATATTAAAAAAAGATTTCCTCTAATGAGAGAACAGGCAGAAATCATTAAAAATATTATTTATCTGTCAGTGTTCAATAAAGGGAACATGAAATTAATAGACAAAGCCTCACTGTGCCACAAGCCAGAGCCCCTCTCACCCCAACAGAAAGGAAACTGTAAATCCTTCATGGTAATAACAAAGGTGTAAATACACCTGCCCTCTTTGCCAACAACAGGAGGTCAAACAGGGCAGTAAATTTAAAGGAAACCCACTTCAGCACATCTTCCACCAGCCACCAGAACAGTACCAGCACACATTTTCAGCTGACTGTACACACAAGATGATGTGCTGCCTGACAAAGATGACTCTGTGGTCATAATCCCAAAGACACCCATCCCACAGCTCCTCCCTTCCACACTGCTCTCCACAGTGCCATCCACAAACACTTCTCCCTCGGGATCAGAGGCAGATCAGTAACACCATCCATAGCTTCAGTAGGTTTCCCTGTCCCGTGTTTTTGCAGGAGCTTTATGTCCAGCTTCCATTTGTCACTGCACAACAGCATCTAATCCAAAATGTTTTGAGAGCTTTTACAACTCAGCGCCTCTGAACAGCAGCAACAAAAAGCCAAAGGAAGGACAGATCACCACAGCCTTCAGGAGGGTGCTCTGCAGTGACCAGCGATGCACTGGCACGTTCCACCTCTGCCACAGCCTCGGGAGCTGCAGTTCCCCAACTCTAACCAACAACAGATAACACAAACCCAGAAACTCCTTAATAAAAACCAGTCTTTCCCAGTTAAGGGACTTTCTGCAACAAACAATGGCCGGTTTGTTTGGAAAAGTCTAAATATATCTTGTAAGAAAAGAGCTGGAAAATACCTTGCCTGCTGGATTTAGAGATGTGCATTTTCCTGAGGTTAGTCCAGACACATCCTGCAAAACCTACAATTTATGTTTACTGTGGTGTTCCACAACTTCTGCAGTATCTCTGTATTGACACTAAGAAGTGGAAACTTAGTTAAGAATATGCAAAGAGAAAAGCAGACCCTTAATGTAGTGAAATACCAGCAGAAGTAAGTTCATGTGAGATTTATCTACTGCGCTGGGCCCCACGTCATCTGTCTTATATGAATCACTTGATGCTTTTGTCTTGTCAAGAACTGAAAAGTTGCTTCCTACAGAACACAAATTTAGGTTCCAACCCAAACTTTTCCCTTATGTCTGTTTTTGAGTCATACAGTAACTTTACTTCAGTGACTGTGCACGTGGACCATTCCAGTGCCCCTCCACGGAACATGCCTGATTGATCTTCCCAAAACAACAAAACCAGCATCTGAATACACACACATCTGTCATCCCATCCCAGCGCTTCCATGGGCAAATGTTTATTTGAACTTTTTAGTTGGGTCCTTTGAATTTTCTGTTAACAGCATTTAACCCACATCCAGCTGCTCATTCCCCCCAATACCCTCCTCCTGCCATTCCCCAAGGACCTCAGAAATCAAAACGCAGAGCACAGAACCTCCTGCATTCCCCCAGACATCAGACTCCGTGCAAAAAACCTCCTGCCATCCCCTAGAAACTCTGAATTCAAACTCCGGGCACAGAACCTCCCGCATTCCCCCAGAACTTCCAAAACCAAAACTCCGAGCACAGAACCTCCCGCATTCCCCCAGAACTTCCAAAACCAAAACTCCGCGCACAGAACTCCCCGCATTGCCCCCAAAAATCAAAACTCCAAGCACAGAACTTCCCGCATTCCCCCCAGAGATCAAAACTCCGCGCACAGAACCTCCCGCTCCATCCCCCAGAAATCAAAACTCCGCGCACAGAACTTCCCGCATCCCCCAGAAATCAAAACTCTGCGCACAGAACCTCCCGCTCCATCCCCCCACGGCCCCGCCGGGCTGTCCCCTTTCGGGACACACGCGGAGTTATCCCGCCCCGGGTCCGGGTTGAACCGCGGGGAGGCGGCTCGGGCTGCGGGTCCGCGCATCCCCCGCGGGGGCTCCGCGGGCACCGGCGGGGCCGGACCGATGCCTGCTTTCCATCCCGGTGCCCGCGTTCGGTGCCCGCTTTCCATCCCGGTGCCCGCGCCCCGTCCCCCCGGTTCCCCGGTACTCACAGCGCGGTGGCGGCGGCGGGCACGGCGGGCCCCGGGCGCTCCACGCCGCGGGCAGAGCAGTTGACGGCGCAGGCGGGCGCGGCGCAGGCACAGCCCGGGGCGCAGGGCCGGCAGGCGGGGGCCGGGCCGGCCGCGATGCCCCCGCACAGCAGCGAGCAGAGCAGGCACCAGCCCGGCAGCGGCAGCCGCGCCGCGGGGGCGCCATGTTTGCGCTGTGATCCAGTGTCTCCATTTCCCAAAGGCATCTCTCCCTACGGGCATGGCATGGCCCCGGCTGCGCCGCTGCCCCCCGGGGGCTCGGCCGGGCTCGGCCGCCTCAGCGCCCGCCCGCCATGGCCCGGCCCGCTGGGGCTCCGCTCGCCGCGCTGACAGCCCCGGCCCCGGCCCCGGCGCCGCTCGGCTCTGGCTGCTGCTCCGCCCGGCCCCGCGGCCGCCCCCGCTCCGCCTCCCGCCCGGCGGAAACGCGGCGCCGCTCCAGCCCCGAGCCCGACCGGGCCGCCCCCGCTCCAGCCCCGCTCCGCTCCGCTCCAGCCCCGCTCCAGCCCCGAGCCCGACCGGGCCGCCCCCGCTCCGAACCGCGGGGCTCCCGCGCCGGCCGGCCCGGGGGGACACGGGGGGTCCCGCGGGATTGGGACGTCCCGGAGGCGGGAGAGTCCCGCGGGGATGGGGTGTCCCGGCGGTCCCCGGAGCAGGAGAATCCCGTTGGGGAAGCGGCGTCGCGAGGGGCGCGGGGATCTCGGGGGACAGAGGGGTCTCGGGGGACAGAGGTGTCCCGGGAACGGGGGGGTTCCTGGAGCAGAGGGTCCCGGGGGATGGGTGTCCCTCTGACGGGGCAGAGACGTCCCGGTAGCAGGGGGATCCGTGGGGAAGGGGTGTCCCGGGGGCAGGGGGATCCTTGGAGAAGGGGGTCCCGGATTCAGTGGGACACGGAGGTCCCAGGGGGCAGGAACATCCCGGGGAACACGAGCATCCTGAGGACAGGAGCATCCCGGGGAGCAGCGACGTCCCGGGGAACAAGGATTATCCCGATGAGGGGCACCTCAGAAACTGGGCAGGGCGAGCGATGCAGGATGGAATTGTGCTGGAGATGGCGGGGGGGAGAAGGTCTCACAATGCCAGGGGGGCTTCCCCACCCGGGCACAGAGGGCAGTGGACAGACGAGAGCACCAACACCCACCTGAGCCCTTCCTGAAGGCCTTCGGCACCCGGTTCCCGTGGCTGGTGCCCATTCCCAAGGGCTGTGGGAACCAGTAAGAGCTCAGGTTGTGGGGTGCTTTACACACCTACAGTACAGCAGGTACCTTGGAGACAGAGGAAGAACAAGTCAGGTACTTTTCAGTGCATTTTTTTTTTTACCATTAAACAGCAAATCCATCAGGTTTCAGTACCACTCACACCCCACACTGGCCCAGGCACTGGCCATGGCTCACACCTGGTGAGGTCAATCCCATCATTCCACCATGGCTCCTCGGGGATCTGAACTGCTTCTAGTTTGAAGTGATTGAAGGATATAACTAAAATAAAATCTCCATACAATGAAAGGAAGCATCATTACACAGGGCATCTCCCCAAACCCATCCCCAGCCCGCTTGGAAGCAGTGGATAGGTGTGACAGCTGATAAATCCCACCCTAATTTGTTGGTCTTTCACATGTGCCTCGTTACAGTGTGATGGGACATTTGGAACATGGCCCTGGCCTTCCACCGAGGGGAGGATATGAGAAAGCTGAAATAAAACATGGGAGAAGCTGCTTTTGAACTGGTTCTCCTGAGATTTGTTGATCCAGACAACACTTCCAGCAGGTTTTTTGCTAAGTGAGAACAGGAAAATCTTGCCCTTCATTTATGCAATTCCATTAATTCTTGCAGCCATTCACACTCTCAAAATATTCCTATGTAGCATTGAAATTCAGTGCAGCAAGTCTCCCCAGGTCAGCCTTGGCACCAGGAATGCCAGTGTCCACGGGAGCCCCAGCACTGCCCATGGGCAAAGCTGAGCCCACACTCTGCTCTGTCATGGCTGTTCCAGCAATTACTGTCGATAGGAAAACCTCTGGAACTGCTGCCTGGAGAGCACCCTGTGAGAAGGGCTGTCCCTCCCCAAAAAGGTGGGTCACCCATCACAGGCTGCTCCCCTTGAACACCCTCAGTGCCAGGGTGAGGGGTGCTTGGTACTGGTCTGAAGCAGCTTGCACAGCCAAGCAGGGCTGTCTTCTGTCCAGACTCCCCTCAGAGCTGCACCCCATGCCTCTGCCAGCTTTTGCTGCTCCCACGTGTGCTCCCCAGCATTCCCAGTGCTCCAGTGGTGAGTGTGCCGAGGAGCTGCCACCTGGACACTGCAGCAGGGACTGTGGCAGTAGGGCCCTGGCAATCAGTGGGCTCAGGAACTCTGCCTGGCAGCTTCCAAGGGAGAAACCACAACAGAAAGGGGTGGGAGAGAGACATGCTCACTGTCTGCAAGCATCCGAGGAGTGAGAGCAGCAGGGAGCAAGAACAACTGTTTGGGGTGGGACCAGAGGAAGGATTGGAGCCTTAGAGCCTGCTACCCCCCCCCCCTCTGCTGAGAACAGACCTGGGGAGAGGAGGGCCAGGGGGACAGGTTTGCCTCTCTCAGTGGGCTGGACTTGCCTAAACCTCATCTCTGTGTCTGTGTAGAATGCCCTCACTGAGCCATTCCACAAGGACACACTCATGTTGGGGCCAGATCATGAGTTTCAGCATGTGCCACTTGATGGCTGTGGTTGTCCTGCACACTCAGCTCCTGTGAGCAACAAAACACAGACATTGTTCCTTTACCTAAGAAAAAACAGGTTGGAAAAGGCCTCCAAGATCACCAAGTCCAACCTTTCATCAATCTTCACCTTGTCCCCCAGCCCAGAGCACTGAGTGCCACGTCGGTTGTTTCTTGAACACCTCCAGGGACGGGGACTCCACCACCTCCCTGGGCAGTCCATTTCAGTGTTTAACAACCCTCTCCATGAAGAAATTCTTCCTAATGTCCAGCATGAACCTCCCCTGGTGCAGCTTGAAGCCATTTCCTCTCGTCCTGTCACTAGTTACCTGAAGAAGGTGACCCCCTACCACATTACTCCTCCAGAGCTGCTCATCACCTCCAGCTCTGTCTGGTTGGCTTGATCCAGGATGGTCCTGATCCAACAGAGTCCACAAGCACCTCTGTGGATTTAAGTGTGTGACTGTCCTGCTGAAGCCTGAGGGGTGATGTTAACTGGGGCCTCGGCTTCCCATATCCAAACTCTGAGCAAACCTGAAATACAGACAGCATCTGATCCCACTCCTTGGCATGGTGCTTAATGTGTGTGGGAATTTACTTTCCAAAAACATTTTGTGCCTTTTAGGCTTGAAATCTGCTTGAAAGACACATCATCCTTTGCATGATGTATTGTGCCCAAAATAGCCCTGCAGTTACTATTTCCTCATGTGACTACAATGTATTTATTTCCGCTCCCTCAAATGTGAATTGCTTTTTTTGGGTGGGTTTTTTTTTTTTCCTTTTTTCTGTACTGATGCCCATATTTTTTCAGATAACAGCAAGGAGAAAATATCCTGTGTGTGGATTGCAATCAGCAGACTAGCTGGCTAATGGAATCCAGCCGATGGAATGAAGTTAAGGGCTGTCCCTGAAAAGCCAGGGCTGCCAAGCTGTAACGAGGGCAACGAGCAAGGAAATACGTGAGTGAGTGGGCAAGGAGACAGCAAACCTCGACACAGCAGCAAGAGAATCATTTGTTCACATTGAGTCACGATTTTTGAACTCGGAGGAAGGTCCTGTCGCTGAGTTATGATGGGTTTGAGGGCAGTAACTGCAGAAAATGATGGAAGTGGAAAATGTACTCTGGGGCTGGGAGGCTGCTGCTCACTGCGAGGCTGGGAATGGCTCGTTGTGGGGAAGGGATTCTGCCGGTTCCTCCCACTGGCAAGGAGCTGGAGAGTTTCTCAACACTGTTTACTTGCAGCAGAATTCAAACCCCAACCAAGAGGGTGTTAATTCCCCCATCCCTCCAGCCCTGCACGAGTGCACCCAGCACATGGGCAGATCCTCTGTGGTCAGCAGAACGTGACGGAGCTGCGGCTGGCTGGGAATGTCACTGCTGCCTCCAGGCCCTCCAGCCAGATCCCAGAACCACCACAGATGGTTTCAGCAGTGCCCAGACAGCTGTGAAACCCCACTGTGTGTCCCAAACCCCGAGGCACCCCCTCTTCAGGGCACTGAACACTGTTTGGCTCACGCCTGCAGCGCCCAGTGCGGGTCCATGAGCAGCTGCTGGGGACACCTTGTTGCCCAGGTGTGTTCATGGGGAAGCTCTGTGCAGATGGAGATGGGATTGCAGCCAGGATGGCTGAGCCAGGACAGGATCCTTCTGCCTTCAGCAACATGCATCCACTGTACCTTGTGTGTGGCTTGAAAAAGGCAGGAAAAATGCCTCTCTTGACCTCTCTGCTCCCTGGCCACGAGCTGAGGTCCCTTGCAGCTGTATTCATGTTATTTCTCTGCTTAGAAGAACTCTCACCTGATGGAAGGAGCACAGCCTGTCCTCAGCTGATGTCATGGGGAGAGAGCTCTCCCACCAGGTATGGAATAGAGGTATCCCAGAGGATGTCATGATCTCTGTTTCTCCTGGGAGGAAGTGGCTGTTCCTATCTCTGCAGTGTGTTACTCTGTGCCTGCATTTTGTGTCCCCCTCACTTTCATGATCATAGAATCATGGAATTGTTTAGGCTGGAAAAGATCTCCAAGACCACTGAGTCCAACCGTTCCTCAGCACTGCCAAGGCCACCACTAACCCGTGCCCCCAAGTGCCACGTCCACACGGCTTTTAAATCCCTGCAGGGACGGGGACTCTGCCACTGCCCTGGGATTGCTGCTGTGGTACTTGAGGAATGACCCCCACGAGGACCATCTCCATCACCGGTCCTGGCTGCCGCTCCCCGCCCATATTCCCGTTCCCCTGCTCCGATCGCCCACCCAGATGGCCGCAGGCAGACCCAGGGGCTCCCCCCCGGCCCCCCGAGCCGTGCGGGACCCGGCGGGCTCGGTCCATCACCGCTGTGCCCGGCCCTCGGAGCCGGTTCGCGGACTCCAGGCGCCCTCTAGCACCGCCGCCGGGATAGAAACCGCGGAAAGGATCCTACGCGCCCTAAAATCATGGAATCGTAGAATCCATTAGGTTGGAAAAGCCCTCCAAGACCATCGAGTCCGACCGTTCCCCCAGCACTGCCAAAGCCACCATTAGCCCATGTCCCCAAGTGCCACATTCACATGGCTTTTAAAGGACAAGGGGTGATGGCTTCCCACTGACAGAGG